TGAGGTTTTTCTCCTGAAAATACTCTCTCATTCTTTACCACATAGCCAAGCTGCAAATCTTCCAAATCTTTATGATCTGCTTTCCTTTAATTATAATTACTGAGATTTTTTTGCATCAATATTCATCATACAGATTGGGCTAATGTTTCCTTTTCTTGTAGTATCTTTGCTGGTTTTAGCATCAGGGTGATGCTGGCCTCATAAAGTGAGTTTGGCTGTATTCCCTCTACTTCTGTTTTTTGGAAGAGTTTAAGAAGGATTGTTATTAATTCTTCGTTGAATGATTGGTAGAAATCAGCAGTGAAACCATCTGGTCCTGGACTTTTGTTTGCTGAGAGGTTACTGATTACTACTTAAATCTCTTAATTTGTTATTGGTCTGCTTAGGCTTTATATTTCTCCTTGATTCAGTTTTGGCAGATTGTATGTTTCTAGGAATTTATCTTTTTCCTGTAGGTTATTCAATTTGTTGGCATTTAATTATTTGTAGTCAACCCTTATGACCCTGTTTATTTCTGAGGCATCCATTGTAATATCTCCCCTTTCTTTTAAAATTTTATTTATGAGTCTTTCCTCCTTTTTTCTTAGTCTAGCTAAGGGTTTGTGTGTATTTTGCTTTTTTTTTTTTAACTAACTCTTAATTTTGTTGATTTTTTCTATAGTTTTTATTCTCTATTTAATTTATGTATGCTCTTATCTTCATTATTTCCTTCCTTCTGATAAATTAGGGTATAGTTTGTTCTTTTTCTACTTCTTTAAGGTGTGAAGATATTTACTTGAGATTTTTTTTAATGTAAGCACTTATCACTATAAACTTCCCTTTCACTACTGCATTTGCTACATCCTGTAAGCTTTGTTACCTGTGTTTCCATTTTCATTTTTTTAAAGATTTTTTTAAATTTCCATTATTTAGTTTCCACATATTTGTGAGTTTTCCCATTTTCTTGCTGTTATTGGTTTTTGCTTTTATTTCATTGTGATAACAAAAAATACTTCAAATTACTTTAATCTTCTTAAATGTGTTAAGACTTGTTTTTTGACCTAACATGAGATCTATCCTGGAAAATGTTTCATGTGTGCTTAAGAAGAATGTGTACTTTTCTGATGTTGGGTAAAAAGTTCTATAGATGTCTGTTAGGTTCATGTAGTTTATAGTGTTGTTCAAGTCTACTATTTCTTTATTGATTTTCTGTCCAGATTGTTCATCTAATATTGAAAATGTAGTATTGAAATCTCCAACTATTATTTAATTATTGTTGACTTCTCCTTTTAAATCTGTCAATATTTGCCTTATATACTTAGGTGCTCTGATGTTAAGTACCTATATATTTATGATTGTTATATCTGCTTGTCGAATTAAACCTTTTTAATAATGTAATGACAATCTTTGTCTCTAGGGATAGCTTTGTGCTCAATGTCTACTTTTTCTGATATGAGTATAGCCACTACTTCTTTTGGTTACCATTTGCATGTGATATCTTTTTCCATCCATTCATTTTAAGTATATGTGAGCCCTTGAATCTAAAATTAGTTTCTCATAGACAACATACAGTTGTTTTATCCATTCAGCCATGCTGTATCTTTTCATTGGGGAGTTTAGTTCATTTACATTTGAAGTGATTATTGGTAAGGAAGCATTTACAATTGACATTTTGTTAACTGTGTTCTGTTTTCTTGTGGTTCTTTTGTCCCTTCTTTTCTCCCTTGCTGTCTTTTTTTGTGTTTTACTGTTATTGTTGTTGTATTGTTTGGTTTTTATTTCTTTGTTTTTTTCTTTTGTGTGACATTTATAGGTATTTTGTGGGTATGTGGCTATCAAGAAACTTACATAAAGCATCTTATAGTTAAAATAGTCTGTTTGGGGGCCAGCCCGGTGGCGCACTGCTACAGTGTGCCGCTTGGGAGCATGAGTTGTATTGTTTGGTTTTTATTTCTTTGTTTTTTTCTTTTGTGTGACATTTATAGGTATTTTTTGGGTATGTGGCAATCAAGAAACTTACATAAAGCATCTTATAGTTAAAATAGTCTGTTTTGGGGCCAGCCCAGTGGCGCACTGCTACAGTGCGCCACTTGGGAGCGTTGCGATGGCGCTCCCGCTGAGGGTTCGGATCCCACATACAGACCGGTTCCCACTCACTGGCTGAGCGAGGTGTGGGAGCAACACCGAGGGTTGCGATCCCGTTGCCGGTCCCGATCCGGTACGGGCGCGACACTGAGGGTTGTGATCCGTTGCCGGACATGAAAAAAGACAAAAAGGAAAAAAAAAAAAATTACACTGATCGCAGTAATTCTTTGAACTTTCAAAAGGAAAGAACAATTGAGGTTACCAGAGGTAGGAAGGTGGGGAGGGGGTTTAGTAAGAAATCGGTAAAGGGCCTCAAAAAATGATTACATTGTGTAATGTTGAATATACTAATTAGCCTGATTTGAGCATCACATGTCACACACAAGGTATTGATACTCAACGCTGTTCTCCATAGATGTATACAACCAATTATGTTTCAATTAAAAAAGAAAAAAAGTGGTATGAAAAGAAGACCTGGAGCTTTCTGGGGAAGGCTTTCTAGAAGATAGACTGGTATTCCTCAGTCTTGTGAATTGAGGGTAATGATTTTTATTTAGTGTTCCAAATGGTCCCAAAGCCCACCTTAGCAGACAGACAGGCATGTGGGAAAGCCAGGCAGGTCCTGATGTGGTAGAGTTAGGAGAGAAGGCTGCTGTGCAGGCCAGCATCAGCTCTCATGATAACTACACTCATCAGTCAAACAGCATTTCCTGTGAACAGTAAATGCAGGAATCACAGAAAAGTTCAGTCATTCTTCAATTTTCCATTTTGCCATTTTGAAATCGGAAGTTAACTCCCTCATTCTTAGCTCCCCAGAGCCACATAATTTTAGAAAAGGGATTATAGGTATCTCGTCCAATCAACTCGTGCCCCAGAAGAAGGGATACAAGCTCCCTTACTTGCTACCCACTGGGCAGTCCACACACTGGAGGTTTGCTTTGATCCTTAGGGACAAAGCTGATGGGCACAGATTTTGGTCCTGCCCTTCACTCGCCCCTGAACTTTCTGGCACTGTCCCCTCTACGGAGGCATTTTGGAAGCTCCAGAGGTAATCAGCAGAAAAGTTACATTGTGTTCATCAGAAGCATGGTCTATCCTGGGGGGCAGCCCTCTCCCAAGAATCCTGGGTATAATCCAGGCAGGGTGCAGCCCAACCCAGGCTCCCCTGCCTACTCTGGCTGCAAGTCCCCTCAGTGGAGGGGGTGAGATTGTAAGTCACCCCCCGCCCCCAAGGAGGGTCCGGAGGTCACTTTCCCAGTGAGGTGGACCCAGAATGGTGATGAGCAGATACAGAAGCTCCACAGAGGAACTAGGGCTCCCTTCTGGCATTTCTTTCAAAATATGTTCAAAGAAACAATCTGATTTAATCTTCATGGGAGGAGGTGGTTTTTTAAACTGAACTGAATTGTCAAAATAGAACTGCACAATTAAAGGAAATCATTATGTAGGAATTGCCTTGGGGGTTCTCAGATTGTGCATAGGAAAATATTTTTATTAGAACAAATCCCTTTGCAGATTACCAAAATTGTCTCTAACAAAACATGATAATGGGTTGTCTTTAAAGTTTCAGAAGATTACAAAGAGAAATATCAGCCTTTCCCCCCCACCATCTTCATTTTGTCACCTGAGAGTGGATGACTTTATAGTAATATAGCTTTATTTATTTTGTAAATTAGTTCTTTGACATGTTAGTTGAATACTTATTATCCCTAATTATAACCAAAGATGCTGATAAGGTCACTAACCATACCATGTATAAGCTTTGCAATGCTGATACATCTGTAAATGTTCTCTGCAGGCAACAAAAGGCAATGAGAGTAGTTGTTCCGAGGGCTCCGATAAACGTTAGATTACATTGTGTATGGGATAAACGTTAGATTACATTGTGTATGGAGTAGAAAGACTCCTTATAGAATTATACTGGGAGTATTGATGAGTGTTCAATTTTAGTGGGTTTTGCTGGGTTTTTTTTTTTTTTTTTTTTGGTAGTCAAATTTTCAGAAAGTTGTTTATAAGATTCATGAATGTTTAACTATTACCCAAGTTTTCTATAACTTAAAGTAACATTTAAGTATGATTGACATTTTAAGATTTTGTTCTAAGTAGTCCAGGGGATTTGAGAATATACTCATTTACAAAGAAACTTTTGATTTCTGCTCATTAAGTGTGAAAAATTATGGAGGATTTACAATCAAATTTTTTACTCATGGTCAATTTCGAAGAATTGCTAGTTTTTTAATATTAAAAGGAAGCTTGTGTTTAATGAGATGAATTTCATGCACGTTCTTGGTTTTTAGGAGGAAGTGTTTTCAAACACATTGGTTGGCAAAAGTAAGATAACTGAAACATATCGCGTTGTTTTAAACTTTTTATTTTTACTGTCAGTCCGCTTCTTGCCCATCTTTTCAGTTTGTGAAGAGTTAGAGAAGTGATTATTTCAAGGGTTCCTGAGAGATTAGCAGTAAGGAGTCAGAAGTTTTGCTTCACTGCAAAAGAGATTTAATTCACGACGTTGCAGCCTAAAGCAGTTAAGGGATTCTTAGGAACCCAGTAGCATTTAAGGAAACGGGACTTGGCTAAACCCTCATTTCTACATTCATCTAGTATTCCTGGGGTTTGATCGAAGTGATGCCAACCGGGCGTGTTCAGGAGGCGGCTTCCGCCAATGGGGAGGCAGCTGGAAGAGTTCGCGCGTGGGAAATCCCAGCCCCTTTCTTTCGTGCCGACACCGGCCTCCGGCTGCGGCGCGTCGGCCAGGGTCAGGTGCACGGTCCGGGTCGTCCTCCGCGTTCGCTTGCAGGGGATCGCCTCTGAGCCGGCTGTCGGCGCCCTGGGGGCGGCCGGGGCGGGGCGGGGGCGCTGCGGGGCTTCTGTGTTGCTAGAGCCGTGATGTCACCCGCCCCTCCTAACCCGCGGTTGGTTGTTTTGTGTTTCAGCTCTGCCTGCAGTTGAACACAAAGACCTGGAGGAGACTCCCACATCCTTCAGGGAGAAGAAAGGAGGCAGCGAAGCAGATTAAAGGAACTTGTGGCTTGTGGCCTTTCTGTGCGGGGGACCGCCTGCAAGGGGAGCAAAGTGCATTAAAGCCACCGTGGCGGTTAATGAGCTGTGAGATGAGGCGCCGCTGCTGCTGCTGCTGCTGCTGCTGACTCTCAGCTTCCAGATCCATCTGCTGCCCTTTGTGCTGCATGTACATGTGTCTTTCCAGGCCGTCCGGAGGCGCCCAGAAGAGCATCCAACACGGCTGCCGGGGAAAGACCGCGCACCATGCCCACGGAGACGCTGCAGACAGGTAGCATGGTGAAGCCGGTCAGCCCCGCGGGCACCTTCACGTCGGCCGTGCCCCTGCGCATCCTCAACAAAGGGCCCGACTACTTCCGCAGGCAGGCCGAGCCCAACCCCAAAAGACTCAGCGCCGTGGAGCGGCTGGAGGCTGACAAGGCCAAGTACGTCAAGAGCCAGGAGGTGATCAACGCCAAGCAGGAGCCCGTGAAGCCGGCCGTGCTGGCCAAGCCTCCCGTGTGCCCGGCCGCCAAGCGCGCGCTGGGCAGCCCCACGCTCAAAGTGTTCGGCCACCACGCCAAGACCGAGAGCGGCGTGCAGAGGGAGAACCTCAAGCTGGAGATCCTCAAGAACATCATCAACAGCTCGGAGGGCTCCAGCTCGGGCTCGGGCCACAAGATCGGCGCGCGCAACTGGCCGCCGCACCGCCCGGACGCGCCCGACCTGCACCGGCACTCGTTCGCCGAGTCGCTCAAGGTCTACCCCACGCAGGGCCGCGGCAGCCCCCAGGAGAGCGGCTCCCACGTGGGCAGGAGGCTGCTGGAGCAGTCGGCCGAGTCCTTCCTCCACGTGTCGCACAGCTCCTCGGACATCCGCAAAGTGACCAGTGTGAAGCCCCTCAAAGCGATCCCCTGCAGCAGCTCTGCCCCTCCCCTGCCTCCCAAGCCCAAAGTCGCCGCCATCGCCACCATGAAGTCCCCCGAAGCCGACCCTGTGGAACCTGCCTGTGGAGTCAGCCGAAGACCCTCCCTCCAGCGGTCTAAGTCAGACTTGAGTGACAGATATTTCCGAGTGGACGCAGACGTGGAGAGGTTCTTCAACTACTGTGGCCTGGACCCGGAGGAGCTGGAAAACCTTGGAATGGAAAATTTTGCAAGGGCTAATTCTGACATAATATCCCTCAACTTCCGCAGCGCAAGCATGATCAGCTCAGACTGTGAACAGTCTCAGGATAGTAACAGTGACCTTAGAAATGATGACAGTGCCAATGACCGAGTGCCATATGGCATTTCTGCCATCGAAAGAAATGCTAGAATCATCAAGTGGTTATATAGCATCAAACAAGCTAGAGAGTCACAGAAGGTCTCCCACGTGTAAGAGACAGCGCTGGAAAGGAGGGAGGGGTGGGTGTCTGTCTGTGCATATGCAGTTGTGAAGGTTGTGAGGTCTCCTTGAAGTGTTGTGAGCTTCTCCACTCTTTGTGTTGCTTGTTGTGCAATGTTTTCCAGTTGCATGCCTGTCAACATGGGGACTGACCTGGCTTCCACGTCACCATCGCTGCAGAGCCTGGCTGAACACACTCATTTGCCAAAACTTGCAGGCCAGAATCTAATTAGGGCTTTGCTCTTAAGCAAAACTGTTTACATGGAAACGGTATACGATTTCTTCAATATTTATGTGGTTCTTGTGTTTTTATATCCCACGCTATTGTGTCTTAATTAAAAGTTTTATCAACTGGCTTTTAAGTTGAGAGCAGAATCTTTTTGAAATAAAAAGCCACTTTGCCTACATACGAGAACGTGACCATGGGAAAATAAGTGAGATCTGCTACCAAACCGATAGTGACTGTCCCCAAATAGAACCAGGCTGGGTTTTTCTGTGGAAAAAAGTGGTGAGCCTGATGTTAATCATTTACGTGTTGAAATTCTCTTGCCACTTAGTGAGGCAATCGCTGGGGCAACAGTGCTATGTTTTGTGTCCAATTCAGTGTGTAAGTGTTGGTGGGTCTGTGTAATACCACAAGGAAAGATGATCAGATTCAATGAAGGATGATTGAATCTAGGAGGTTGGGTGCTTGGGGGTTTTGCTGATGTTTTGATGTGGGTAATTCAGAAATTTCTAGTATTAATCATTTGACAGAAATGGCTACCTTAAAGCTGATACTGAATGCCTTTTTTGAAAAAGAAAGTTGTGTTTTGTTTTTATTTCTGTTTGGGTCAAGAACTCCTAGTTCTGTGGTGTTTCTCTTTCTCGCTGCCTTTGTTGTTGTTTTATTTGGGAGAGGGGAGAGGGGCTTGTGAAGGTTTGAGCTATCGGAAGATATCAACAAGACGGAAATACCAACCATATCAGTATAGAGCCTCCCATTTAAAAGTGAATACTCTTGGTAGCTGACCCATATCTGAGCAGTGTGATTCCGCTGTCTCGCATGTAGTATTCTCTCAGGCTGTGGATCTTTGTTACAGCTCTAGGAAACTGTAGAAACATGACACTATGTAGCTTTTCCACCCTGTGGTCTCTAGTGCTGCCTGTCAACTTGTCCCTTTTCCCCCCAGTAACCTATCTTCCAGGTGGTTTAGCTAGCTGTCACCCAGCTGACAGTGTGGTGTGGTAGCAGAGAGGTAACCATGCCATGGTCTGCTTCATTGATCTTGTCACACTCTGAAGTTCTCAGCTGCACTATCTTAGACTTCATCAGCTAATAGGAAACTTTTTATGGTGTAAATTCTGTAAGACTTTGTACATACTTCAGTTGTTATAAAATCTATTTAAAAAAAAAAAAAGTTATGCTAATAAATAGCTCTGGTGCAGGCAGTGATGGTGGTGGTTTCTCTTTGTCCTTCCCTTTTCTCCTCCACAAAAATTTAACTTTGGACTGTGAGCCCAGAAACAGATTTTTAATAGTCTTCAAGAAACATTATTAAAGTTGTTTTCAACCTACCCCAATTATTCTGAACAGCAGTATTCTTAATTGTAGCTATAGCAAAAGGCTTTTGCTAAAATAGTTACATCAAGATTCCTAAAATATGCTGCTGCTTCTTTACTTAGTTCACACTTCTGTTTATTTTTGTCTTTTCTTAAACATAGGGATTTTTCACATCTTCCATAAGACTCTTCAGTTGTAAATATTTATGAGTTCTTACCATAAAGGCACACCCTTGATATGTATTGTATTTGTGCAAGCCCAACAACGGGGTGCCACTACATGTGTCCGTGCATGCGTCCACTCATTCACTCATTCTTCTTTCAACTTGTCACTTGTTGAGTGACTCCCTTTTTCAGGCATCGTGACAGAAACTGAACCACCGTGTTCAACAGTGCAGCCTCTGCCTTGAGGAATGTAGATCTTCACATTTATTTTAAGAGAAATATCATTCCTCTTAGTGGACATATTCCATCTCCTTTATTCAGACATTGAGTATTCAATCAGTATTTATTGAATCAAGTTATTTGAAGATTAATGCTTTTCCCATGGTTCCACATAATATGTAAATGTGAAAGGCAACATTAAAAGTAGAAGCATTAAGAAGTAATTTTCAGAAACAAATGATACTATATTAGCCCGTTTCTGCTGCTTATAACAGAATACCTGAAACTGGGTAATTTATAAAGAAATGAAATTTATTATAGCTCAGAGTCTGGGAAATCCACAGTCCTGGGGGGAGTACATCTTCTGAGGGTCTTCCTGGTGGTAACTCTACAGTGACACAAGGTGTTACATGGCAAGAATGGGCTTAGCAAGAGAAAGCTAACCTCACTTGCAATCCTCATAAAGCCATCAAAACCATGCCCACTAGTCCATGAATAAAGCAATCCATTCACAAGGGTACAGTCCTTACAATCTAATCACCTCTTAAAGGCCCCACCTTTCAATTACCATCACAGGATTTCCCACCCTCTTAACACTGTCACATTGGGGGTTAAATTTCTAATACATGAACCTTTGCGGGATACATTTGACCCATAGCAGATATGACTCCCAACTATACTGTTTATAATCATTTTCCTTTGGAAAAACAAACTTTGTTCCTTGACTCTTTCTACCTGTTTTGAATTCTTCCTGGTTCTCTTATTAATGTTCCTTTGAAAGAGAACCCTGTTTCCCAGAAGAAACATTCTGGGTTGCAGCTATGAGTGGTGGTGATATATGCATTCAAGACAACAGAATAAAAATAAGTTTTCATAAAAAAATAAAACAAAAAGTTATCTTCCTTCACTATTTGTGTTGAAATGTGACCATTTAAAACATACATGGCTTAACATTTGCATATCCATCTGTTTATGTGGCTATTGAAATATTAAAATAGATGTTATTTTCCTAAGGAAACCATTTTTTGGGAGATGAGCACTTCTTAGCTAATTTAATATCACTGCTTGTGCTATTTTAGTCATAGACTGTGTTTGAATCTTCCAGTATTTCAATACCATGTGTGATCTGTATTCGGTGGGGACTGTAAATCACTCTTACTACATAATTCATTCTAATCTTCTGTGGCCTTATTTATATAATGAACAAATGTGAGGCTTTTAGTTCCTACAGAAGGTGGCGACTCATTATTTTCTTTTTGTTCTTAAACTAGAGTTTCTATAAAGCACTATTTTATTTTATTTTATTTTTTTTTCCTTTTTGTCTTTTTTACTGACCGGTAACGGGATCGCAACCCTCGGTGTTGCGCCCGCGCCATGCTCAGCCAGTGAGCGGGAACCAGTCTCCACATGGGATCCGAACCCTCGGCGGGAGCGCCGCTGCGCTCCCAAGCGGCACACTCTCCAGTGCGCCACCGGGCCAGCCCAATATAAAGCACTATTTTATTTTATTTTATTTTATTTTATTTTATTTTTTTTTCCTTTTTGTCTTTTTTACTGACCGGTAACGGGATCGCAACCCTCGGTGTTGCGCCCGCGCCATGCTCAGCCAGTGAGCGGGAACCAGTCTCCACATGGGATCCGAACCCTCGGCGGGAGCGCCGCTGCGCTCCCAAGCGGCACACTCTCCAGTGCGCCACCGGGCCAGCCCAATATAAAGCACTATTTTAAATACTTAATATTAAATCCTAAGAGCGAACCATTTCCTAATTGTGAAACACTCTTTGCAAAGTGCTCATTCTTATAGCTCATGGAAGTATCATGTGTGCCTGTGCATGTGTGTGTGTGTATAAAATGGTAGTGTTGGTATGAATATAATGTTGTCATATATACTTTACACTTTTTATTCCTACCTAATACAAAGTGAAACATGATTGCACTATATGATACTAGGAACTAGCTGTTTCTTTCTGAAAACCACCAAATCTTAAGACAATCCTTATATACCCATCTCCTTTGCCATTGTCTTAGTTCAAGTTCTCACCACCTCTTACCTGGACTGTTGTTTCTAGAACTTCTTGATCGGAAGGCCTCCCTACTCCTCAACACCCAGTCTCTTTCCCATCCTATTTCATGCCAAGGATAATATAATCAACTCTAATCATGTCACTCCCCTGTGTGAAATCATCCTCTGGCTTGAATAGGTTGCTGATGGGATAAATCCTAACTTCTTAACAGAACGGAGAACATTGGGCATCTACCTCTCAGACCTCAGTCACCCAGCCCAGGCCTCCAGGCCCCAACCAAAGGGAAGTTTTCATTGGGAACATTTTTATCACAGCATTTGTGATTTATCGTGTAATAAATTACTCCAAACTGCAATAACTTAAAACAATACACATTTGTTATTTCAGTTTCTGTGGACTGGGAATCCCAGAATTGCTTAATCCAGTGGCTGCAGCTCAGGATGTCTCATGAGGGTGCAGACAAAATGACGGCCCAGGCTGCATCATCTGAGGACTTGACTGGGGTCGGATGACCCGCTTCCAAGACGGTCACATGGTGTTGGCAGGAGGCCTCAATTCACAACGTGGACCCCTCTCTAGGGTTGTGTGAGTGTCCTTACAACATGGCATTTAGCTTCTCTTGGAGTGACCAGAGAGAGAAAGCAAAGAGGAAGCCACGGTGGCTTTTGCAATCCACTGTCCTGAGCCACACACCTCCATCACATTCAGTTCATTAGAAGTAGGTCACTAAACACAGCCCACATCACGGGGGGAGTGATGCCCCATATTTTAAAGGGAGGAACATCAAAGAACTTGACATATTTTAAAACAATCACTGCTGCTGAGTTTCCTGCTTTCTCCTCCCTCCTTGACGTCACAAACACTTGCTCTTTCAAACACAACTATCAATTGTTGAAATATTTTTTAGTTTCTATGTTGCTTTTTCCCATTAAATTGTAATTTTTGTCATGGCCGTGGATCCAGTCTTTGCTAGCCGAAATGGTGCCTTTGTGGGAATTTTTGAAAAACATATCTTCCTCAAAGCATTTTATTTCCTGCCAGAAAAAAAAAATCTGTCCTAATAAACACGTAAATCTTTGATGACTGGGATAAACCACGGACCCAAAGTTGGGCAGCCTGCAACGCAACAGCCCAGAGTATATAACAGATGCTTACTAAGTGTTTTCTGATTGTTTTTTGTTACCTATGATGTCCCAGTCCTGTGCTAAACTATAATGCTACCACCATGAACCAAGAGTGGTAGTTACTGTCCCCATTTTCGAAGTGAAGAACCTTAGTTCCATGGAGATTAAGCACATTAACCAAGATCCCAGAGGAAGTAAGTGGCAGAATGGAACTTGAACCCAGCTCTGCGATTCCAGCTCTGCCCTTCCCACGGCCTGGTTCAAGACAAGGGAGGCAGACTGAGTGTGTTGTGATTAAAAACAGAAGGCCCTTAAATTCATCTTGATAATTTT